TCCAAGTCAACTCCGAACTCAACCTGCGGGGCCAACTTCTCGATCTCGGGTGCAGATGAGAGGACCTCGTACTTGCGGTCCTCGTCGTCGGCTGTATCCTCACCTGAGCTGTCCGACTCGCTGGAGTCCTCCGGGTCGTTTAATGCAGCAGACGGCTGGCCCGGTGCTGCACCCAACTCAGGTCTGAAGCCTTCCTCACTCAACGGTTGGTCGCACTCGCTCCATGACCCAAGACCACTTGCAAAACCTGAGTCTGCAGCCACCTCTGAGAACTCGGCCTCTTCTTGATCCTGACCCCAATCAGGTCCAATCTCATCGTTGGCGCGCTGGTGTCCTCCAAGGTCACCCGAACTCGCCTGAAAGCTGGTGAACGGACGAGCTTTTCTAAGGAAGGCGCCTCAGGTGGGAATGTCGCCTTGGCACTTGTAAGCATCATTCCGGACCGTGTGGCATCCGGTAAGAATGATCCAGCCTTGATCATCTGTAGGCAGTCTTCTAACTCTCTGAGAGGCTGAGCCTGTACGTCTCGAGAATAACTCTCAAGGGTCCGACGCGACCCCAGCGAATGGTGCCCTAAAATAAGTCGTGTGGGCTCTGACCACCCGCCCTTGGCTAGCCAACTGAGAGTTGTGGCCTTCATTCCATGTGACGTCAGCCCCTCGGCACAACCGCCTGGCACAAGGACCTCAAGAATACTGTTGAGCCATGCCGTCGTCTCTGAGGCACTGACTGCAGAGTTCGTCCACTCGTGGCTGAAGGAAAGCCTCGGAAGAAGGGGTCCTCGATGTCCCTTCTCCAAATCGATACCTACATCTCGCGCGGCTTCCAAGAACGACAAGGCCCAGGGTTTCTTTCCCAGACCATTTGCAGGAGCAACCAGACACAAGCTCATGCCCAGGCCTGCTCCCTTGCGACGGTTTTCATGGTCAGCTGTTCTTGCTTCAAGATAGCCCTGGCTGCCGATCATGTCGACTTCGAACTTGGTGATGCTCCGAATATCTGAGACTCTTGCCCGACTGTAAACTTGGAACAAGAAAACTCCCAAGCGAAGCGATCAATCTTGTTAAGCGAATGCCCTGCCAGAGCTTCTTCAAGAGCTTCAATCTCTTTCACAGATAAAACTCTCGATTGCCTGCGCTCATGCTCGGAAAACTGAGCACCCCGAACCAGGCCTTGAAGAAGTGGGTCACGGGTCAGATTCTGCTGGCTACCCACACCCATGACATGGCTCAAGAAATTCACTGTCTCCATGTCCAAAACACGCATGAACTCCACAATGATGTTGGCTCGCAAAGGAAAAACCAAATATCCATGCTTGTCGCCCCATGCAATGAGTCGTGCACAAAATCGAACTCGCTTCAAAATTGTACTGGTGCTTTTGCCACCAAGAGCATCACCGACTATCGAAATTCCATTGCTTGGGTCTGATTCCAAATATCGCCCGACAGCAGAGCCCTCAAATTATGGCTTAAGACAAGTATCCACCTTCGCAGAACAGCTTCCCGTCCCAGCAAACTCTTTGGCGCCTTCTTGAGCACCTGAGAGAAAATAGGTGCCCATCTGGGGTGGTCCTAACAGCAGATTCCTCCGGTGCGTGGACTTCCGCTTTGGCGATATTTCATCACCGGGCCGGGCAGGTTGCTCGGCAGGCCTAAAGAAAGTCTGCTGGCAACAGGCCTGAACAGTGCACTGGACGAATCTTGAGGATGTGCCGGTAGCTGTCGCAAGGCACCAAAACGTGCATGTTCATTCCAGCATGCAGAAATCCGAAAGCAGTCGGCACAGTCATTGTGCTGGCTGGCCTCTTGAAGATATCTCCCCCGCTCTTAAAAATTTTCACAAGAACGGCCTCCCAGCCAAAATGGCTGCTGAGGGAGAACGAAATCACATGTTAAGTATTTGGGTGCGCGCTGAATTGGAAGCAGTTTTGAGGGTGTGGAGGGCTGTTGAACAAAATGAAAACATTTTGGCCATCGCCCAGAGCACGAGATAAGAGTCGGAGGCACTTAGAAGCGACACGGTTTCTTTGCTTCCTTCCACAGGGAGCCAAAAAAAAACGTTCAACACGATACGTCCGTCGCCGGAGACAGCCGACGCCATGGAGTCACAGCTTCAAGTGTTTGGAGAAATGCGCAAGCTGGAGCGCATTTCGGCAGGTTCCGTTCTGTCCTCAACCTTGAAGCACTTTTCCAAGCAAGTCCTGCTGCAGCAGACATCAACAGCACCTGTTGCAAATGTGGTTGAGAAGCCATCGGTGCTTTCCTGTTGCAGATGTAGTTCATCATTTCGATCTTCCAAAAAACCAAGCAGCAACGAAGTCGAACGACATTCCGGAATGGGCTCAGAGTTGGCTCGGAGCTCGGAGATGCCAGCTTGTTGATGTGGGAAGCGGTTGCATGCTTGAACGTTTGAGGCGTATATGCTGCAAGAGCCGACCAGTTTTGTTGAAAAGCTCGTAAACGTTGCCGCGGACAAAGAGCCTCTTTCGAAGTTGTGCGAACATGGGATCGAAATTGCTCAGTTGGATTTGATGTGTGATTACCTTTCGCTTTTAGCCTCTGAAGCTAGTTCGCTCCAATTCCACCCGGTGGACAGGTGCTTTGGCAACAATGATGCTGGTTGGCGAACGGTGAAAAAGAAGCAAAGCAAGGAAAGCACTGTGCTGCGATGTGCATGCTTGCACTTTAGTCACGCAGAACTTAGACCTGCTAAAGGGAGGTGCTGCACGATCCCGGGCCGGATCGAGGATCGCCACGCACAAACCAAAGTTTGCTTTTCTCAAAAAGGCGCTTGTAGAAGACCACGTGCCTTTGTATTGACTGCCAGCCCACACCCCGTTTAGGTTTAAAATTTAATGCACAACGTGGGACCCATGCACGGTTTGACCGCCGATCTGTCTTTAGCGTTGTAGTCCAG